GCCGGGTCTGTCATTTTTTTAAAAAAACAATAGAAAAAATAAAAAAAATAGGAATAGCAGGCGGCCGGGTCATGAAATTGATGACCCTGAAACGGCCCGTCTAACATCCGGTCCGGTCCTGGACCCGTGGTCAACAGGTTTGACCAGGCCGGGCAGCTCCTGGCCATGTCTACATGCAATTTCGGATTTATGCAATTTCATTTTCTTTTTTTTTTCTGATTTTTTATTTCATTTTTTATTTTATATTAATTAATGGAGGAGAGGGGCCTTATATTGAATTTATTTCGATCCCCCCGTGCATCTCTTATTTACAGTTGGATAATATATTAAATTGCATAAAAAGAAAAACCATGAAAAAATGAAATATTTTTTCGAAACGAAGAAAAAGTGAATATAAAAGAACATGAAAAATTATTACAATTAAATCCTGACAGAGAAACCAACTTTAAAATCAGAAGAGGAATTCAACAAAATTTCGAGCCCACTGAATCGGCAGTTCAGACATAATACATAATTTCGACTAAGACGAGTGAGTGAGTTTTGCTCGAACCGTAAAGCTTATCAAACTGCAAAGGGCAAATATTATGGCACACAGATGATAAAAATGCGATTCACTTACCACATGTGGATGAATATTGTTTTTTTTTTTTTCCCAGTTTCCAAGCCTGATTTGGGTGCAAGAGTATACAAATTAAACGGTGTGACGTTCATGTGAAGTTTCACGGTACTCACTTGGAATAAATTAGAGTGCCTTTTTCAGTTGGAAGAAATCGGGACGAGCCTTGTTGGCTGCATCGACATCCTCAGGCGATGCCACGGCAACCACGACACCTTTGTCCTTAACCGTCTCAACCACGTCAGCAAATTCCTTGAAGTCACTCAACCTGTAGAAAATAATAATATATATATATATATATATATATATATATTTTAAAAAAAAATAAGAAACATTATATAGGATAAATAAATAAACAACAATTATGAAAACACAGGTGCATTTGATCGAATAGAGGGCATTTGCAAGTACCTTGTCGACAAAATCTCTTCTCGTCTAATTTGTCTTTCCTCCTCGGTGACTCCTAACAAGTATCTCAGTAAACTGAAGACAAAGAGGTGAATATTATGAATCACACTCCATCATAAAAAAGAATTTGCAGGATTGTAACTTCACTAATTTTGAATCACACTCTGACTGTATGCAGATAATTTTTATTTGGTTGAAATTAAAAAAAAAAAAAAAAAAGGTGATCTTTTCCTGAATGCTCAACCGTACAGAACAATTAATATTACAGAGAAAAAAAGAAATCAAAAGTTTTACCTGCTATATCCTTTGGCATCGGGTAGCTGATAGGCATCAACATCTCCAATAGTCCCAATAATTGCCTTAGTGAGGGCATCGTCGTCCAGTTCAAGTTCCCTCAAGAAGTTGCTTGTTCCATCATAAATGTCGAGTGTCTTCAACAAGTTGGGATCTCTGTATGACAAGTATGAGAATACACCTGAACAAATAAATAAAACAATGGTCAACACATCAGGAAAAAAAAAAAAAAATTCAAAGTTATGTAACATAACAGCAAAGTGGAACTGTTAAATTGGGACCTGAATGAGAGTCGAAATCACAAAATCCTCCATAGGCTCCACCACTGACACGCACACGATCCCACAGCCATGTGTTGCCCAAGTATTTAGAGATGACATATGAGCTGCCTTTACGTTGATAGCCAGCCTCGAAAAGGTTAGCTGCTTTTCCAACGTAATTCACCTGCGTAGAATATTGCTCGACTTTAATTGAAATAGCAAGATAGAAAAGGCATGCATGCTATACAAAGGTCCATTAGGGGATAAAACACATCTAGAGGTTCAGTCTAATTTTAGAAAGCCCATGTACTTCCAAAAAATTACAGCAACCCCTGGATTTTTTTTTTTTTGGATTTTAGGGGTTACAAAAAGCTTGTAATTTGAAGGGAAAAAAAAAGAAAAAGAAATGATTATCTATTGTTCCAAGAAAATGGTTAAACTTCGACGGTAGATTCTATCGAAAAGTTAAGCGAGAAAACAATGAATGTTATAACCTGAGTAGGTATCACAATAGCTTCGTTCTTGAGAGGGAGTCGAGCACTCCAAGCAGTTGATCCAACTGGAGGAGTCTCGGGAAGCATATCTACAAATTTGCTGACATATTTCTCCGAGTTCTGGAGATTATTCGCATCAGCAGTCAGATTTATGAGGCAATCATTCTTCGAAATCAATGTTTTTCGTATCTCCTCAAGGGAAGAAGATATTTCAGGCCAGTCGTTGTCAACTTTCTTTTCAAGAGCTTGTAAAAATTCAAGGTAACTGCACGCAAAACAAAAAACAATACTGAGGGCGGTAACAACTTCAGAAGAGAAAAAAGAGTGAAAATGTATATTATACGAAGACTTTAATAGAGTTGTAAATGAACTGAACGTTCGCGAACAAAAGCTCGTTCGTTTGTTAATCGAGCCGAGTTCTAACAGAAAATTAGGCTCGTTTTATAAACGAACGAACACGATCTCCTTCGTGAACCTTGGATTACGTTCGCGAACATTAATTTAATATAATTTTATTTTATTTTTTATTTATTTACATAATATTTTTAATATAAATCTTAAATTTAATGCAATTTTATCTATTTCTTATATATTTACATAATATTTTTAATAAAAAATCTAAAATATAAAAAAAAAAAAAATTTAATTTTTTTAATTTTCGAGTTCGAACGAACAAATTTCGAGTTAATCAAACATATTTACAAAATTTATGTATTAAATTATTCCAACACGAACGAACTCGAACTTTGACGAACAATTAAACGAACGAACTCAAACACGATTTTTTGCTCGAAAATAAACAAACGAACACGAGCTCGGTCCGGTTCGGTTCCGTTCGTTTACAACACTAGACTTCAATAGGCAATGATGTCAGATATAATCGAACACATCTGCTTCCAGAAAAAATCGAATTATCAAACATTACCAACATCAAAAATCAATAGAGATCAACAAATAGAAAAATGAAAATGTGGAATAATAAAATTCTAGATTTCAGAAAGTAGCCAGCTCAGGCTGGCTCATAGAAACGGAGTGTATCATAATTTATGCCAAAAGTTCCACCAAATACTGTACATATTATATAGAATTTAGATTCCACCAACAAATTACCTGAGACCACCCATTTGTTCAGAGATCCAACCAGCAGTGTTGAGCTTGGCATCCATTCTTGTAGCCGCAATGCCATGCCCACTGCCCCTCAAACGGTTCTGAGAGCCAACAATTTGAATCATTTAGTGAAGAAAAGGCAATTTCTCTGTTCTTCTAGGTTAAAAAATTACCTCCATTCTGGCTTTGCTCTGAGAAACAAACTGCTTAAAACGCTTTTGGTCTGTCAGTTGAACATCTTGAATCACACGGTTGACCTACAAATTGATAATTTTACAACTGCATCAATCAACCTCCATCAGTTAAAATCTAAGCTGGCCGATCGCCTTTGGTAAACCTCACAGTATATATGGAAGAAAACCACGCTACAATGCCATGTGCATTAAAAGCAATGTGTGATTAAGTAGTCTTCAACAAATTATTCTTTATCTTTTCTGGGTAACATTACAACACACAACTATGGGGGACTCGCAAAGAAATAGGAACTTAAAAAATAAAAATAAAAATAAAAAATAAAAAATGTACGAGCACGTAAAGAGGAGGGGGAGAGAAGCTCCAATATTAAGATGATTTGGTGAAGATCAGTTCAATGCTAATTAATACCAAGAAGAATAATAGCTATGTACCAAGTTAAATAAATCTTCAGTACGTTCTGACATAGCTTTGCCTCGAACAATTATACGGCTGCATGGGTCCTCCCGTCCATGAACTGATGATGTAAGAGGATATACAGATATCCCACCAGTTTTTCTTCCAATTAATTGATTTAGTTGTACAAAATCCATGTCCTTTGTACCCATCTCAAGCAGGGACTGGCTGTTGACATATACATGTTATATCAGTTTCCATGTTTGATAATATAAAAAAATTAGAAACAATGATCCATTGAACTCAATGTCCTATAGTCAAAGATATCAACTACTACTACATCAAGAGAATACGCATGAACATCGTATCATGCTGTATGCAACCCAAAATAATACTAACAGTTCACCCGGCACTGATATGATACTACACCATGCTGAATTCAGATCTACTTACATTGACAGTTGTCTGTAGCCTAATAACTCAGGGAGTATATTTCAGTTGAAGTAAAAAACTCTTCATGAAATTGTTCAATGTTTATATTCTCAAACCAAGTATTGCAATACTTAAAGCAACAACCTGTGCTTCCTGCTTTGTTTTGTCATTGATGATTTGATATTTACAAATTGGCCCAAACTTTAGGAATCAAGAATGATGAAACATATCCAAGAACAAAAGCAGACTTGTGCTCCTAGGTTCTTTTCAAGCATTTCTGTTTTTTCTTATTTAAGATTAATTAACCTCTATGATTTGGTGTCCTCAGGAACCTGGATATTCGATTAGCTAGAACTCTCAACGAGCCTAAGGTCACAAGTTCAACTTGAATATTGCTAAAGTTTCAAAACAAATTCAATATCACAAACTGAACAAGCATCAGTGGAGCTGGTCTCTGGTTGAATTGGGTTGAGGCTTCTAAAGTGAAAGTACAGATTCTTCTATATTAGGGTTTGCTCTCTCACCAGAATAGCGGTACCAAAGGCAGAAGCTCCTGCTTCAGGGAGCTCATATTAAATACAACTTCTGCATATAGGACATCATTTGTGAAAAGGTCATGCTGCAAAACCTTTACGCCATTGATATCGCCAACCTGCAGTTGCTCGCAATAAAAATAAGCTCCAAAGGAAAATATGAGAATTGTACAAAAGGCAACATTTACAGTTCTCTTTATCACCTCTATAGGAATGTGTATAGGCTTTTTAGGAATGTCTTGCAAAGAAAGGCCTGGCACACATTTCAGAGCTTCAGGTGGATCAGGAGTCTCCTGTTTCAACTTGAGTTCATGTGTTGCACGGGCCAACTCAGCCAGATCCTCCTGGGTCAAACTAGCTTTGACCTTTTCCAAATTTTCTTTCTCAGTTGCTTCATCACGGGAAGCCTTATCTGGATCAGGCTGTACAGAGCATCACTTAGCAATGAAATAGTGACATCACATTTCACCTCACAAAGCCAATGACAGCAGAAGAAGAATACCTGCATTTCTATAGTCGCACAGTGTGGGTTGTTCAAAATGAATTTTTCTATTAAGGGAGCAAAGACTGATTTTGAGCCTTCTTTAGCTATTCTGCCTTTCAAAGCCTTTAGAGGTTCTTGATATTTCAATGGTTCGAAAGGATCCTTATCATATATCCACTTCCCCTGTAAAATACAAAGTGCTTATAAGAATATTTCATAATCCAAAAGGTAGAGCAGAGGGATACCGGGTTCATAATAGTGAGATATTACGAACAATCAACCCTGATATTGGATATTGATAATGAAAGAAAAGCGGCCAATTTTAAAAATTGCAAAAACCACCCTTGAGGTATGGTTCTTTTGACCCTACCATTAATTAACCTAATGGAAATTGATTATTTCAGCAACTTCCGTAGTCCCACTAAAGGCAGGTGCAAAATTGTAAGACAAGTGTTGCCTCAAGGTTCGGTTGTTTTTCTGTAATTCTAAATATTGCTGGCTTTTTTTCCATCATATGAACAAACTTCAAGGATAGTTGTAATTATCTCTAGTGCTTACAATTGAGTTAAGCATAAGTGCTAATCCACGAGGAAATGAACCGGTGTTGTTTTCTCTGAGAGAAAATTCAATCGTATTCATTGATGCCTCCACAGCATCAGAATCGAAGCCTTCTTTAGCCAATTTCTTAAATGTGGTCATGATTAATTCTTCTACTTTATTAATGTCATCATCGGATACACCTTTTAATCCGATACTAAACTGAGGCTGAAGGAGTTCACTTTCAACCCCACCACCAACAATAGCATCTCCCAGGCGGCTCTCTAGAAGAACTTTTCTCAAAGGAGAAGCAGGAGTTCCCATCAACAAATGATCCAGAAAGCCTAGGGCCAGCTCAGTCTCTGAGTCAAGCGGTGTCTCAGAGAGGAGCCAATTAAGGCACACCATGTGCTTCTTTTTCAGGTCCTCCCCTTCAGCAGCAGGATATCTTTCGACAATCCTGATTGGTTCCGAAAATAATTTCTGATGATGGACTCTTGATTCCTCAGAAGCTGAACTAGCTTCGAACTTATCTAGATATTCTGCATTTGGAAGCATTGAAATATATTTAAGCCATGAATAATGTCAAGATTTCATAAATTGTTCACCAAAGAGCACATAAAATAGTTACACAAAGAATTCTTGTTGAATGCATAATGTTCTTCACAAGAAGCCCATTACCGTGCATGACTGGTGAAACTTTAAACAGAAAATACCATAGATATACTCTCAACCTTTCATAGAGATAATAATGCACGTGAAATGGTTTCAATGATAGAAAACTGCGAGAGCCCATAGACGAAGGAAATACAGTCCAGCATATTTCTTCGTTGGACGAGTAATGTTCTTCACAAGAAGCCCATAAACATGCAAGAATCCGGTGAAACTTTAAACATAAAATATCACAGATTTACCCTAAACCTCTCATAGAGATAATAATGCATCTGACATGTTATCAGCTGAAAGAAACTGCGTAGAGCCCATAAGACGAAGTAAATACAGACATGCGTATTTCATAGAGGACAACGGAGATGTTGCTTTGATTTTTTCTCCCATTAATTTGATTCCATACGCACGATAAATAGAAAGAAGGAAAAAATAAATCCGAAGACAATATTATACAGCTTAATGAAAACTATATAGTATATACCACTTAAAATTCGTAGCCTTTCACTTGGATCATCATCTCCATAAAACCATATTCTAGCGTTGCTCGGATGATAATATCTGCGGTGGAACTCCTGTATACATAACAATATGATAATGATAATAACAATAATAATGCATCTATATACACATAAGAACGAATGAGAAATTTGCCATTATTCAGAAGAACACTTGAAGTTGAGAAATTTAAATTTATTAAGAAATTACAGAATGACTGTACTAGTTAATAATCTTTTAATCAGGAAATGGTTAAACAATCATTTTTATATAATTTGCAATTTAAAGCTAGCACAAATCCCATAAACATCCCCAACTCTGATTAAAACCATGAGTATGAAGTCCCAATACGTAAAATGGGTTGAATTGACTACGGCTCATTATATAACAGAAACAAGCCATATAAGAATAGATGTTATCTGAACTCAGTTAACTTCATAAGGAAATTCTTCAGCAACATTAAAAATATAAAGCTTTACTTCCAGAATATCACTTTTGCTCACAAACATTTCAAGTTATAGAAAGTACAAGTCCAAATTACATAAATTTGAAACTATGCAACTACATGTCAATGTGAGCACGCAAAATCATATGAAATATATAATCGTCAAATGAAAGAGACGACAAAATAGTAAATTCCAAAAGTTCAATACATGTGTCGGGTTATAAATGCATTTACTTCAATACAATTGCGCGCACACACACACACACATCATGTTTATGCAAGTGCACATTCATGCCATGTTAATATCAGAATTGTGTCCTTCAAACTGCACTAAGAATATTAATCAGAACATTTTCCGGGTACAATGGCATTGTAACATTTTAAAAGTAAGATAACCCTTGGATAAAGAAATCTGATGGAGGTACCCCATGAAAACTTAGATTCCAGTATCTTAAAAAATTAAATTTATTTTAATACAACTTCGTGGATAAGAAATACGTGAACTGAAAAAATAATTAATTATTACGATCTTAAGGAGTCAAACCTGGAATTCCTTGAAAGTTAGTTTAGGAATTACTTGCGGATCACCACCACTATCAACACCATAAGTGTTATCAGGAAAAAGAGCCTACAAATAAGTATGATAGCCACTAATTCATCAGTCATTCTCCAGCTATAGTAAGCCTTTAAAGTGGCTTGTATCAGAAGAAAACATATCAAACACTCTTCATTTTATCTTTATTTTATTATTAAAAAAAAAATCATAAGCTAAACCATGCACTCATAAAGTTCAAAAAAATTTGAAATCCACAATTTAGTATGATAGTGAAGCTTACCTGTTGGGAAGCTCGGCCAAGGATGCTGTCAGGCTGAGAATAAACACCTTTCATCTCATTGAAAACAACACCTGGAGTATACCAAAAAATCAAATACCAATAATATGTTGAATTAATCTCCACTACCTTGTCTGGACATATAGACAATGCCAACCTTTATAAATTATGTCTTCTGAGGGGTCGTTCAGTTCATAATGCCAACCTTCCTGTTGAAAGGTTTTAATGTCTTCCACACACTTGGGGAAAAAGACAGCATCTAAGTACACATCAACCAAGTTATAGAAATCCTGCATAACAATAATAGCATTACTATGTGTAAGTTATGATTTTATGACAAATTCTTCGGTAGTTTGACTTGGATATCGAGGGGTCAGACCTTGGCATTGGTGGAGGCAACAGGATAGCAAGTCCTATCAGGATATGTGAATGCATTCAGAAATGTATGCAAGCTCCCCTTCAACAGCTCAACAAATGGCTCTTTCAAAGGATATTTTCGCGAACCACATAACACACTGTGTTCCAATATATGAGGAATTCCTGTTGAGTCTTTTCTGCATCAACATATCACATGTCGGAACCTCATTAGTAGCTCTTAATTAAATAAAAAATAAATAAATTGAGGCATCGCTTGATAAGAGGCTACCACATAAAATACTCTTTGCAGTAAATCTTAATCTAATCTCAAATCAAGTCACTACATACTAGCTTCCACAACTACGAATGAGGAATGTTTATTATCCCAGATTTCACAAGCAAAATACACTCTCAACCCACATTCAAATGTTCTTAATTCAACGGTTCTACAAGAAACTAATAATCTACTCGTGTTATCAATTGCAAGTTTGCCACAAAACGGACCCCGAATCATGTAATTGAAGCAGCAAACTAAACACAATACCAAAAACACCCCAAATTCACATTAACCAAAGCAATTCACAAGGATTTAATGATCGATTAGCACAATAGAAATGCTTACGGCGGAGTCCTGAAAACAATGCCAAATACTTTGTTCTCATCGTCATTGGACACCGACATAATCTCGGAACCAGTCTTCCTGTGCTTATACAGAACCGCTCTAGAATTACACTCCGTGATAAATTCCTCTGACACCTTCTCGAACCCGAGCTTCTCCGCAACATCATCGTCCGCTCCCA